ATTTTCTGGATGACAGTATAGCCTTGTGGTTGAGTGTGGGCCCCAGTAATAGGTTGCCTGATTTTGAATTGTTTGCACCATCACTTTTTGTGTGCCCTCAGACAAGTTTCCTAACCTTTTTGAGCTTTAAATGGCTCACCTGGAGAAGGGATATACCAATAATACCTGTCTTACAGGGTTGTTGTGAGCATAAAATCAGGTAATGTCAAAAATCTGGAAAAGCGTCTAAACTGTGCCATCTAATGTGGTACTTACTAGCCACATATGGTTATTGTTGATTGAGGAATCGAATTTTTAATGTAAATTATTTAAAATTTGAATAAAAATACTCAAGCAGTGTAAAATATTTTTCCATTAAATGCATCTTTATTGTTTTAGTAAGACTATGTTTTACTTTAACCATTGCATTGTGTAAGACTGGAATCAGCAAACTTTTCCTGTAAGGGGCTAGGTGGTGGATATTTTAGGCTCTGTGAACCATATGGCCTTTGCTGCAACTACATAACTCTGCCCTTGAACCATGAAAGCGGATATGGATGATATGTAAACAAAGGAGAGTGGCCATGTTCCAAAAAATCTTTATTTATGGACACTGAAATTTGAATTTCATACAGTTTTCATATCACAACTATTTTTATTTTGATGTTTTCCAGACATTGAAAAATGTAATACCCATTCTTAACTCACAGAGTATACAGAAGTAGGCAGTGGGCTGGACTTCCTTCACAGGTTTATGCCCAAAATGAATTAATTCATGTCCATCAGAAACCACTTATAATAATGTTTGTAACAGCTATATTCATAATGTCCCCAAACTGGAAACAGCCCAGATATTTCTCATAGGAGAATGGATTAAAAAAAATCTCAATATATTCATAAAAATGGATTATTCCATAGCAATGAAAAGGAATAAACTGTGTCTACATGCAGTACACTGGTTGATTCTCACAGACAAAATATTGTGAAGGAAGCTAGTTTCAAGGATACATACCGAACAATTCCATCATGTGAAGTTCTATAATGGGAAAGGTAGTCTGGATTTAGAGATTAGAACGGGGTTTGCCGAGTGGGACAAGGAGAGGGGATTGACCAGAAATGGATGTGAAGGAAAATTCTATAGGATGGAAATGTCATATCTTAATTTGGGTGTATGTGCTTATATATACATACATTTGTCAAAATTCAGATGGTACACTTAAGATTTATGTAAATTATCCCTCCATACAAAATACTTCTTACATAATTTAAAAAGAAATCATTTAGTTGTTACCATTTAATGTTATAATATCTCTTAGTAAAATCCAGATTTCTGGCCACAGTGGTCCACATTCCCTCGTGTCAACCAGCAACTGGAACTGTGCTGTGCTAGTAGGGTAGCCAGTAGCCATGCTAGTGTGGCTGCTGAGCACCGGCAATGTGGGAAGTCTGAATCAAGGTGTGTAGTGCAGGTAAAATACACCTGGGAGTTGAAAAACAAGTCTGAAGAAAAGAATGTGAACTATTTCATTAATAATTTTTATCTCAATTGTATCTTATAATGGTAATATTGAGTTGAAGTAATTATTAAAATTAATTTCACCTGTTTCCTTTTTTATTTGAAAGAGTTTTGAAAAATTGTGACAAAATGTACATAACATAAAATTGACCATAAAGTTTATCTAAACTGTGTTTGTTTAAAGTCATCTCCACACCAAATGTGCGGCTCGAACTCACGACCCTGAGATCAAGAGTTGCATGTTCTACCCACGGAGCCAGCCAGGTGCCCCACCTTGACCATTTTTTAATTGTACCCTTTAGTACATTCATATTGTGCAACCATGTCCACCATCCATCTCCAGAACTCTTTTCATCTTAAATATGTGAAACTGTAAAGCCACTAAACAGCTCTGCATTTCCCCTTGCCCTAGTCACAGGCAACCACCATTCTACTTTCTGTCCCTATACATTTGACTATTGACCCTTCGTATAAGTGAAATCATACAGTATTTGTCCTTTTGTGACTCTCTTCTTCACTTAAAAAATTCTACTTTCAGTCTCTATACGTTTGACTATTGACCCTTCGTATAAGTAAAATCATAACAGGATGTGTCTTTGTGTGACTCTCTTCTTCACTTAAAAAATATTGTACTTACTATACAATTTACAATTATGTATGCGGCTCGCCTTCAATTTCTGGTGGACAGTATTGACAGTGACAGTGAACAGCAGCTGCCATTTTAGATGGAACGTGGGCTCTCTCTGCTCAGCCCCACCTCTTCCCATTGTCTTTTATCGTTTGTTATTCCATTTCTGTTTTATGTTTACATTTTTTCTAATTGAGGAAATGGAAGTATTTCTTATATTCATGTCACCATCAAACATGGAAAATGAAAGGATTTTTCCCTTACTTTTTAGAGGGTCAGTTGTTTAGAAGCATAGTTTTCTTTGAGGAAGGGAAAAATAGTCATTTATAATTTAATATACAAAGTGTTTCTATGTTCAAAGACTACAACCTAAGATAACATCAGGAAACAAATTATCGCCTTGGATGGCTGTACTCATTGTCTCTGTGGCCCCCATAAACCTTCAGTTTGAACTCTGTTTATTTCCTTGTGCTAACTTAATTCAGTTTGGGAGAAAAGATTCTAACCAGCTAACAACTAACTAACAAACGGCTCTTCTCTTGTGATTACTTAAGGTACATCATTGGATAGCAGATACTTTATTGATTAAGTTTTTAATCAAGTTTCACTATTAAAAGCTTTTTTTTTTTTTGTAAAGATTTTTATTTATTTATTTGAGAGAGAGACAGTGAGAGAGAGCATGAGTGAGGAGAAGGTCAGAGAGAGAAACAGACTCCCCGCGGAGCCGAGAGCCCGATGCGGGACTCGATCCTGGAACTCCAGGATCATGACCCGAGCCGAAGGCAGTCGTCCAACCAACTGAGCCACCCAGGCGTCCCTCAAGTTTCACTATTAAATATGGTGTCCATACGACTACAAAAAAACATTTAGACTGAGTATTTACAAATTAGAGTTTTACTTTCCACTTTTTGAAAGCTTGGAGCACTTTAAGCTCCAAGGTAGATAGCCCCTTCATGAACATTTTCACTGATAGGATTATTATTATTTATGGTTACAATTCTGTTAAGTGGGAGTTGTTTAAGACCACATAAGCAGAGAAAGTACAAGAGAAATTCAGCTTATATTTGGTGTTTCGCTGTTTGGTGGCCATCTGGAGGAGAGAGGTTTTTTGCCAGGTGACTAGTTCTGGAGAAATGCCATAGCCAGGGAAGGAAGAGACTCTGTGAAGCGACTGTGTTCTAACGGATATCTGGGAGTTCTAGTACATTAATAGTTGATATTCATCTTCTCGTGTTTGTATTCTGTTGTTCCCAAAATTACATGTTGAACACCCAGTAAAACACTGGTTGGGGAGTTTACAAATGTGAACATTTACTTCTCTTCTCCCTCAAGTAGTGTTTGGAAGTAGAGTCATCCTCTCGTGGACAGTTGGGGTACAGATTATTTTATGTGATCTCATTCCATCTTTTTAGATACCTTTTGCAGACTGAACTGAAACAAATACCTTTCTGAGAAAATAACCATAGGATGAGCTTATATTTGATTTACACAATATCTGGGTTTTCTTTTCTTCTTCCCTCTTTCTTTTGAAGTCCATTCCCTCCTTGAGTAAGTGGAGAGCTGCCCAGGTTGGGGAACATTACAGTGTTCAAAATGGTGGCCATCTTCTCTTTAGAGGAGAGTCCTGGTTTAATTTTCCAGATTGCTTATTCTATTTATGTCTCTTGGGCCTTTGGCTGATTGATCATTCAGGGAATCATCATATTGCCTACTTCTTTGAATCCAATGTGAACATAGCAACTAAAAATAAACATGATGTGGATATCCGAGAACCAGGGGCCTTCTTTGCCTGGGAGCTGGGATACTTGGTTGTTGTTGCTAAGATGTTTTCTGGCTTTAGCACAGCATCAATCAGTGGAAGTGCAGCTGTGTTTGGAATAGAGCGCTGATGGAAGTGCAGAGGCTCGTGATGAGTATTCTCCTGAACAATGGATACAGATGCAAATCATTAACATAATCCATAATATTATCCCAATTTGGGGAGTTCTTTGTGTTGTGTGATTGTGTGTGATTTGCGTGCCGAGAACTAGAAGTGTGCCAAAGCATCATTTCTGTTTGAGAATAGTTTTTATCAGATATTTGAAAGATAAGTAAATATTCCAGACTGTTGCATTTCTGCTCTTTGTAGCCTTGTGAGTGTGGCTAATGGTTTTGACAGTGGAATCTGGCTGAATGTTGGATTGATTGCTCTAACTTGATACCATTTTCCTTATTCCATTCTGAAAAGACAGTTGGAGATCAGGTGTGAAAATTCCGTAAGGAATGCTGTAGGCTGAAAAACTGTTTTACCCAGTAAGTTTGCCCTAGGAATGAGGGGCCTTTCTGTAGGGCAGCAGTTCTGGGGACTGACAGCTCTGCCATAGACGGCAAGCTGTGGGATCTTGGGGGTGTCACTTAGCTCCTTTGAGTCTGTTTCCACATCTGTAAAAGAAGGCTGATGGTAGTCTTACCTTACTGAGTTATGAGGGTTAAATGATGTAACATTTGCAGATCTCGATATCGTGTCTGGCATATAATATGTGTTGTATAGATTTTGCCTCCTTCATTTGCCACTTAACAGTGTTTATACAGTAGCACATCCTTCTTGCTGGTGCTGGACTAAAGGCTGAGGTGGGAGATCAGTCCCAAACCTGGATATCCTCTGCAGTGACTTGACAGCATTTAAAAATGTGAAGCCAGCATGCCGTGCTAGAACTGAAGCATTTTTCTCTCGTGACAGTATTATAGGAGTTTTCATTGTGTCCAAATAAAAATTGAATCTATACTTAGTGCTCTGGAATTTTTCCTCAAAAGTGATTCATCTTTTGGCCATTGCGTCCTGCTTTTCACAGTTTTAAAATAAAGTCTCACTTGAGCTTCTCTGTTCTGGTCCTAAAGAACTGCCACTGCCTCGCTTTATGATGTCGAAGACCGACGCTGAGATACGATTCGGGAACCCGGCTGAGCTTCATGGGCCCAAGTCTCAGATTCCGTATTCAGTCACAGAAAAAAACACCTTCAAGAGAATGGACGATGAGGATAAGCAGGTAAACAGCCTAATCAGGCGTGTCCATTTTACTCTGATCATAAAACCTCACGTAGCAGTGTCTCATATCTGCTGTCAAGCTTCTAGCAAACCTCGCCATCTGGGATATAATTATAGACTTGGAAGTGAGCCAGTAAAGTTTCCCTGTAGCAAGAAAAAGCAGCTGACATATAGCTACCCCTGGGTCCTTAAGAGCCTACTTGAATGTGTCCAAAGTAGGCTACTGATTTAACACACTTACTTGATTTCTCTAATCAGCATTTCCAGATGGGTTCTTTGAAACGTAACTTACAGGATTTTTTTAAAGTAAATGCGACACCCAACGTGGGGCTTTAACTCAGGACTCCATGATCAAGAGTTGCAAGCTCAACTGATTGAGCCAGCCAGGAATCCCCAGTTTTTTTTTTTTATTTTTTTTAAGCTTTTATTTATTTATTTATTTGACAGAGATCACAAGTAGGCAGAGAGGCAGGCAGAGAGAGAGGGAGAAGCAGGCTCTCCGCCGAGCAGAGAGCCCTATGTGGGGTTCGATCCCAGGACCCGGAGACCATGACACGAGTCTAAGGAAGAGGCTCAACCACTGAGCCACCCAGGCGCCCACCTAGGAGTTTTTAATAGATTCTCTCCTTACACAAAGTTTGGAGAAAAGATTTCTGTGGTTAAATATGTTTGGAGAATGCGGCTTCATATTCTTTTCTTGGGGGAAAGACTATATCCTCAGTCTTGAGGAGTCATAGTGCACATTAGCACATTCAAGGCCCTGAGAAGTCCTGCTGTAAGGAAACCTAGAGATTTGTGTTTACTAGACTTCTCTCACCAGGAAATCTTTTCTTGCAGAGCGTGTTTGGAATTCCATCTTGGGAAATGCTGCCGTTACACATTTAGCAGGTTAGGGACAAGGATAAGGAGGGTGGGCTTTTAAAATTAGAGCACTAATTGCAATAGTCAGGTGGTGTTTGATCGAGACAGAAGTATAAAATCTTAGAGGAGTGAGCCTATCAAGAAAGAGGTAAATACTCTTACGCATTAGTAAACCCTGATGGCATGAAGGTATAGCTCATACTTCTAATAAAGGTACTGAATCATGCAGAAAAGTCAAATTATATTCAATATAGTATCTTCAGTAAGACAAAGATATTCATATTTTAGGAGGACGAATCAAAATGTTTTTTAAATGCAATGAATATTAAAGGATTAAGTCAAAAAACTAATTTACATCGCTTACCATGATAATGCTGTATATATGAGGTTGCTACAGAATTTTTATATTTATAGTCAAGTGACGGGTATATATAGCATGTCCTGTTAAATAACTCCATGTGCTGTTGCTTTTGTAATTCTGATACATTTTAAACAGGTTCTTCAGGGATGGAGATAAATATATAAATATATATATATATATATCCCCATCTCTTCAGTCAGTGCTCTGGCGTGTTTTCCTACTAGCATTTGGAGAGGAATGAGGGTTCACTATCCTAGGATGGTTGATACCCCAGGGACTTTCTAGGCCCATCTCCTGGCTGCACGATTGAGGACACATCCTTTCACTTCAGGTTGGGTTTATGGTAGGCCCACCCAGTCTGTTGATGTGAACTCACACTTTCTTTTTCTTGAAAAAGAGTGATCAGTATCTCAGATTGCATTTTTTTTTTTTTTTAGATTAAGAGCACCCATATGGTCTGCATGTTGATTGGAGGTACTGTTTCCTTGTTACTTGGGCGCTCAGAAGTTACCAGTTTATTGGTAGCGTTAAAAAAAGAGGCAGAGGGGTGCCTGGGTGGCTCAGTGGGTCAAGCCTCTGCTTTTGGCTCAGGTCATGGTCTCAGGGTCCTGGGATAGGGCCCGGGTAGGGCTCTCTGCTCAGCGGGGAGCCTGCCTCCCCCCTCTCTCTCTGCCTGCCTCTCTGCCTACATGTGTTCTTTCTCTTTGTGTCAAATAAATAAATATTAAAAAAAAAAAAGGCGGAAACCCAGGAGCAGAGTAACATGGTTTACCTTGCCAGAGCCCTACATAGAATTCACCTTTCAACTGAGGTTTGAACTGTAGCTTGTTAAACCTCCCTCTTAGAGTTTAGAAGTGGTTTACCCATAATGAACTGTGTAGTTATCCCCCCAGTGTGAAAAACCTGGCATTTTACTTTGGCATAGTAAGCTCCAGGAACATTTAGCATTAAGCATTTTAAATGTGTATTTTTAATATCCACATTTGCTGGAAAACTTGGTAAGTGTAAATCTAGGAAATAAGAGCCTTTATCAATGAATGAAAGTTGAATTTATCCACGAAGAGATCCGATCTGGGGAGTATGAATGCTCTTTCATGTGATCATTGTCTTCCATTTTCCAAAGGAAAATTTTAGCAGAATAACTAAAAGCATTTCAGGCTTGTTTTAGTAATTTAGACAACTAAGCACTGGCGAGACTTTGTTCTCTGGGAGATGTGAATCCTCAGACACTGCATTTTAACTGAACTGTGTTTTTGAGAAAACATTCCCTCCATTTGTTAAATCAACCATCTCGCCAGCAATAGAGTTGCATTATACTTCGTAACTGCAGCTCGGAGCACCAGGCTTCTCAGAGTGATTGCCCCTGAACTCTGCTCTGGTTCTTTTGAAGCAGGAAACACAGTCTCCCACGATGTCACCCCTCGCCTCCCCTCCTTCTTCCCCGCCTCATTACCAGAGGGTGCCCTTGAGCCATGGCTACAGCAAACTGCGGAGCAGCACGGAGCAGATGCATCCAGGTAAGAGGCGATCTTGTCCAGCTGTCCCAGGCAGTGTCTTAGAGACTCCTTAATCTATCAGCCGGCAGTGCTGCCAGCTGCTGAATCTCCTGACTTAATTACCTCTGTCCTTGGAAACATGGCTCAATTTAATTTTATACTCTCAAGCAAGGTTTTTTTTTTTTTAAATGAAATGAAATCTATCTTAGTAATAATGCCTTGTCTCCTATCCTACAAACTAGTTTATCTTTAGACTTGTAAATGATTTAGATGATTTAATCCTTCATATACAGATTTCATTACACGGGAACATAGCATGTGAAAGATGGTATTGTCTTGGAATTGTTGTTCCTTTCGGCAAACATTCCAAACATATTTGTATAACAACTGCTTTTATGAAACTACTTAAAAATATAACTCTGCAAAAGCAAAAGAGTTGATTCGACCTTTAAAGACCAATCACACAGAAATGAAACTATTTAGCTCCTGTGTTTGGGAATAAGAATAAGGGAAATAAATGGTAGGGGAAGCGTTTTGCTGAGAAACTGTGTAAAATACCTAGTTGTGGGGTTGCCTGCTTTCTCACATTGGTGTTGTGCTGGTCACGTTTGTGGTAAAATGCGTTAGTTGGTTCGGAGGATGACTTGCAGAGTTGGCTGCCTAGCCTGCAGTGCCTAAAGCTCCGTAAATTCACTGCAGCATCTTGTCCTCCTGGGGCTCAGGCTCATAGTTTAAGATAGGACTAATTAAATGTATTCTAGAATTGGTTATCCATAAACCTCCTTTTGTATTTTGTGGGGTGTGTTTGAAAATGACCTAGTTTCTGCAGGTTTTTGCGACATTGAAAATAGTGGGGCGTTCTAGAGGGACGCAGATAAAATTGTGTGCTAGGCTAGAGGTTGGAATCTTGTAGAGAGGAGCAGGTGTGGCATAATGGAAAAATCTTTTGATTGGAATCAGAAGGCGTGGGTTTAACGTGACTAACATGACCTTGGGCAAGCCATTGAACTGCTCTGAACCACGATTTCCTTTCCTCTTTTAAAATGGGGTAACAGTATTCTATAGGGGTGTTGTGAGGATTAGTGAGAACACAAGTATAAAGTCTGATTGGAAATTCAGTCCTGTGCAAATTCAAGATGATGTTATTAAGGGTTAGTAACAAAAAAATGTCTCTCCTGAAACTTGGATGTCCCATTTAGGGTCTGAAAGGAAATGAGAATTCTTCATTTTCCTCTTAGAATCTCTCTCTCCTGCCTGACTTCCCTAGTTTTAGAAAAGGAGTTCTTTTTGATTCCTTATGTTATTTGGGCTTGGACATTGGAGTTTTATCCCCAGCCCTGGTGCCTGTTTTTTGTTTTTTTATTCACAGGCAAGTCATTTTTTGTTCTGCCGCCTCAGCCTGTTACTGAGTTCTACCTTACCTCTTTTTCCTTTAACAACTTGTCTGCAGAGGCGCCTGGGTGGCTCAGTGGGTTAGGCCTCTGCCTTCGGCTCAGGTCATGATCTCAGGGTCCTGGGATTGAGCCCCACATCGGGCTCTCTGCTCAGTGGGGAGCCTGCTTCCTCCTCTCTCTCTCTCTCTCTGCTTGCCTCTCTGCCTACTTGTGATCTCTCTCTGTCAAATAAGTAAATAAAATCTTAAAAAAAAAAAAAGAAAAAAAAACAACTTGTCTGCATTCACCCTCTCTACTCCTTGCCCCATTCTTTCCTCATTCCATCCACGTTGGGCTTCCATTCTACCGTTGGCAGGGAGACAACCCATTTCTCTCCATCTTTCTCGTCTTTTAGAGCACTGTAGAGTTATTCTTTTTCTTTTTAAATTAAATTTAATTTTTTAAATGTAATTTTTAAAATTAAATTTTTTAAATGTAATTTTTAAATTTGAGACAGAGAGAGAGAATGCACACAGGAGCAAGTGCATGAGCGTGTTGGAGGGGCGGACTCCCCTCTGAGCAGGGACCCTGAGTCTGGGCTCAATGCCTGGACCCTGGGATCATGACCTGAGCCAAAGGCAGTCGCTTAACCAACTGAGCCACCCAGGCATCCCTAGAGTTTTGTTAATTCATGCCTTTTCAGAGGGCAGGCTCACTGCTGGAATATTTTTCTAGGAATACATTTTTCTGGGGCCATATCTCTGTCCAAGATTCTGCCGTGATTCCTGGCTAGTGGGGAATATATGTGAGTATGTTTGAAATCAGACCGAGTGTCTCTAGACCAATCTGATCCAGAACCCCTTTTCAACTTCTCTCCTGGCTCCTGCTAGTCTAACCTGCTAGATGAAGCTGAGCTAATGCTCAGTAGCTGAGGCTTGTATGCCGGGCATCGCGCACACATCTTCATGTGCGTTATTTGCTTCTTAGCACAACCCTCAGAGGCAGATACTGCTACCCATGTTTAAAAAATGTTAAATCACAGTAATACATCCATATAGTTAAGTAATACTTAAATACCTGTAGTGGAAACAACTGTTCTCCTTCCAATTCGACCTATTTCTGATCTCCAGAGACACCTACTTTCAAATCTTATCTGTTTCTTCTGGTGTCTAAGGTCTTATCTCCATATCAAGATACCTGTTCTGTTTTTTCTTATGCATCGTATTCTGATGTATCAATTCTAGGAACGCACTCTCTTAAGGGCATGGGCTGTGATGTCAGTCTCCTGTGCCTAAAGGTAGACTTGATGAGCCTGCGCTTCTGGCCTGTGTGACTATGGGTATGGATGGCACTTTTCTGAGCTTCAGTTTCTCGTATCTGTAAAATGGAATAGTATCTGTTTCAGAGGTTTGCTCTGTGGATCAAAGAAGGAATGTTATATGAACCTCCGTTCCTAGCACAGTTCCTGGCATATTATAGGTGCTCTTGTGTTGGCCTAGTATTTTCTTTTGTGTTTTTAGAATCTGGTACCTCTTTTATTTATTTATTTTAAAAAAGATTTTATTTATTTATTTGACAGAGCGAGAGATCACAAGTAGGCAGAGAGGCAGGCAGAGAGAGAGAGGGAAGCAGGCTTCCTGTGAAGCAGAGAGCGTAATGCGAGGCTCGATCCCAGGACACTGAGACCATGACCTGAGCCAAAGGCAGAGGCTTAACCCACTGAGCCACCCAGGTGTCCCTGGTACCTGTTTATTTTTGAAGCTCTTTAGTGTTCTTGAAAGTCACCTTCTGGGTATCATTCATTAGGTTGACTGCAGATGTAGAGTTTTTACTGTGCTGTTACTAGTGGTTCCTGTTCTAATTGGACACTGAATCTCAGAGTGATGACATCTTTATGCTTCATATTTACTTCTCCTTTTGGAGAAAGATGATACTTATAGTTCCTTATTAAATTCTCTCACAAAAGAATAAGAATTCTTTCCTTTGTGTTGAATTGAATGTTCCAGGTTTTATTTAGAGGAAGTAGAGTAGAGATAGTAAGTAGTGCCTTTTGGCTTTCTGAGTTGAGATCCAGCTGAGGAAGGAGACAGGAGTTGGACTGATGATGGTCCGATTATGAGCTCTGGTACTGACAGAGCTGATGGGACTGCGCACGTTTTAGCTTTGTGACCAGATGGGCTTCATACACTCACCTTTCCAGTCGCAGGCTGGTGTGGCCAACCCAGGCTTCCCATAGTAGTAGGAAGAGAAAACCTGCCATTGAGGCCAGGCCCTTCCAGAAATGATCCCTTACGCAGCTGAGTCTTTGTTCAAGCCTTACTGATGAGATAGGTCTATTTCTCCCAAGGGAAGACCCTTGTAGATAAGGGACTGGAGCCATGGGCCACATGGCTTCCTTGCATATGTGTCCTCCTTTGCAATAGAAGCTCCTTCCCTCTGAGGGGAACCCGAAGCATGGGGAATCAGCTCCCCAGGGAAAGCTTGTGACCACTAGTATCCCAATTGTGGTACAGTTTACTATGATTCAAAACTTCTGGCATTGAGAGTTTAATTCTGGCATTGGGTATTCCATCAAAATGGAGCGATCTTAATCCTTCTTCGACTGAACTCTACCTTTGAAGCTAATAATACACTATATGTTAACCAATTGCATTTAAATAAAAAAAAATAATAAATAAATTTTAAAAAATCCTTCAGAGGACAATACCTGTCTACCAGCTGAGACTTACCTTCTAAGATTTGGATTACACGTTCTTGGTTTTATGTCTTTTGCAGTTTATATATGTTTGTTTATTCTTAGCAGGGTCTGAAAATCTACTTAATGCTTTGCCAGGTAATGATTTTTGATGTTTTAATATATTTTAATGGTATTATAATGTTGTGTTCCAGTCCCTTGGAGGAAATACAAAAAGCAGATGTGAGTCCAAGAGTGGTTTGCTGTTTTTCACGTGCCGTTATTACACCTCCTTTATTTTCCAGGGGTCAAACTATACTAAGGGCGATGCCGTAACAGGCTGCTCTGCTCTCTCTACCTAATTTTATTCATGAGGAAACTATAGGAAGAGAGCATTTTAGTTCTTTTTTTAAAAAATATTTTATTAAATTATTAGCGCGAGAGCACAAGCCAGGGATAGGGAAGGGGGAGAGGGACAAGCAGACTCCTCACTGAGTGGGGAACCCGATGTGGGGCTCGATCCCAGGACCCTGAGATCATGACCTGAGCCAAAGTCAGAGGCTTAACCGACTCAGCCACCCAGGTGCCCCAGCATTTTACTTCTTGATATATTTCCAAACACTTGAATTTTTAACCAGAAATGTTAATCAAAAATGGTTTCATCATGGCTGATAATTTCTCCTTTCTGTTAGAGTTGAATACTACTTGGTTATATTTAACTGTTTTCCTGCCATATTGGCAAGATCATTATGAAGTGTTCTGGAAATAAAAGGAATAAAAAAATGCATTTGTTTTTGTGGCGTAAGAGCTTTTCTCAAAGTCAGCAAAATTATTTTTCATTTGGTTACTGAAAGATAAAATAATAAATATAAAATGCATTTATTCCTTTTCGTACTTTACTCGGTTTTACATTCTGTCCAATAAGGAGAAGAAGACTGTGCCATTTATTTTTGAAAAATGAACGGTAATGTTGATTCTTAGTGTTCAAAATGCATATTTATTTTCTTGCTGCTTTGGAAGGTGGATGATGAATGCAAGACTTTTAAACCAGCGGGTATATATAGAGTTTACCTCATACTTAGAATTTGAGTATTTATAGCATGGCACTTTCCTGACTATTGTTACTGCTTCCTATTGCAATTTAGGTTCTCAAACGTTCCACTCTTCTAATTTATTCCTAATCTCAACTTGATGTAGATGTTTTCCTGTCTTTTCATGAATCAGTTGAATGTCTTTAGATTGCTTCCCTAAATTGTACCCAGGGGCACCAAGGTTGGTTTGTGCAAGGTGGCCCTATGTACATAAACTCTAATTCCTTTGCTGATTCTTCCCTGAAGAACAGACACTCTCAGTTTGAGTGTGAAGTCATAATTTTTGGGTGGAATCTTCTTGTACTGCACTGACTTTCCTCCTGTTTTTTCAGCTCCTTATGAAGCTAGACAGCCCCTTGTCCAGCCTGAAGGATCCTCGTCGGGGGCCCCTGGAGCCAAGCCCCCTCGGCATCAAGCTTCCCTTATTCGGGTAAGTGATGTTTTGGGGTTATGCTAGTGGGAGACTTGGGGGATGGGACACGACTTTCTGACGGGCCCTCTTTTTTTTAAAAGTTCTACCCCCAATATGGGGCTTAAACTCATGACCCCAAGATTAAGAGTCTCATGACCCTCTGACAGAGCCAGCCAGATGCCCCTGTTCTCCTACATCTTTTTGTAGATGTGTTTCTACCCTTTCTCAGTGTCTCTAGACTAATTCAAGCTGGTTTTTGGTCTTCAGTCTAAAATGCCTTTCCACCTACATCATTAGTCTCCTTTTTCAGGAGGAGTGCTTTATTTTTTCCCAAAACAGCCTATGTTATTTCTGTCTTACTCTTTATTATTATTCATTCAGTGGATACTTAACTGTTGCCCTTTGTTTGGTGCCTCCAGTTACATTGGAAGACTTTGGACGGCAGCGGTAGTTCTTCCGCGTTCTGTTTCAGTGCCTAGGCCATGCTGTTTGGAGAATGATTATTTTACATGCTGTTTCTTATATGGAATAGATAGAAAAGGAATATTATGACAGAAGAACACGAGATGTCTCCATTTCTCCTAGTTTATAAAATGTCAGCTCTCCTTTCTCCAGTGTTTTCTTTTGGATAAAGAACTCTTATTATTTTCATGTCTGCAACTGTTTTCTTGTGTAGTATCTCTTGCGTCCTGTGCTGGGGACGTCATATTCTCACAAAAGGGTGTGTACTTGTTGGTGTGTATGTGTCTGCGTGGGAGGAATTACGAAAAAACTGGGTGTGCTGTTTGACCCTGAAGACAAGAGGAAGTTGGGTAGTTTGTGTGACATTTCAGTTATCCAACTTGGGAAGAAGGACCACTTATGCACAGGCAGTTCTACTCAGAATAGAAGGGTAGTGTCAGATATTCCCATAAAGAATTGGTTTGCTAAACTGAGGGTTGCGAGGGGATGGCAGGGGTAGGCACAGGGTGGTCGGGTGATGGACATTGGGGAGGGTATGTGCTATGGTGAGTGCCGTGAAGTGTGTAAGCCTGACGACTCACAGACCTGTACCCCTGGGGTGAATAATACATTATATGTTAATAAAAATAATTAATTAAAAAAAATTGGCTTGCTAGTCTCAAACAGAATAGACAAAGGCTAAGGGCGATCATGTTCGCTGATACCCTCTGGGAATGGGGCAATCTGTTAGGCCCAGAACCGTGTTATGGAAAGAACTTTATCTTCTAAGGTGGTAGTCTGTGTACAAAGAACTTCCTTAAGGATAATAATGTAGCCATATGCTGTATATTTATATTTAATGCTTCCTACAACTGTAAGATCTAGGTCCTGTTTTATCTACTAGTGTATATGAGTTAACTGTGGCCAAGAGAGGTTAGGTAATGAGTCTAAAGTTTTACTCTTAACTAATAAATGGCAGAAAGGGTCCTTGTAATAATGACAGTATTGAAATGCACATAAGCTGCCCGCACCATTGAAGTCCCAACGATGCCCCCCTTTCTTCACACTGACATACTTGTTTATGATACTGACTGGTAGTAACCCCTTTGAAATGCTCCAGCAGCACCTTTAGGGGTGAAATCCCACATCAGTTTCTGGCTCGGCCGCTCTTCCAGTCTGCCATGAGCTGCTTCTGCTTCATTGGTATGGATGAAGCCATCTTGGAGTCCCGGGATTCGGCTCTGTTATCCCATTTATTAGATAACAAAACCTGAGGTTTAAAGACCTTATTTAATTTGCCCAGAGTCACAGCTAGGAGAGATAGGGCCGGAGTTCAAACACAGGACATGTTTTCTTAGTCTGGCTCAGGAACCAGATAGATGCTGATATCATCTGGTAAGCTAAGAAGCCCTAGATGAAAAATTGGCATTGAGAGTATGAGGGAAAGATCATGAGTTCAGTGTTGGACGTTGGGATTTGAGCTTTTGGGATAGCCAAGAGGAAGTGTCAAAGAGATGGTGGGGAATATGGCTCTGGAGCTTTGGGGAGAGCCAGGGCTGGACATCGGTATTTGGCAGTTGGTGGCCATTAGAAGGACTTATGGTATAGTGCAGAAAAAAACAGATGGATTCTTGCCCACATCTGACCAGACTGTGTGACCTTTGCCAAGTTTCTTCTCTTTTCTGTAACGTGAATGACTTGGAATGGACTTAACAGTCCATTGGAATAATCTGCAGTAGTCTGACTCCCTTAATGTTTGCTTGGGGTCAGTGAAAGCCCTGCCCCTGCCCCCTTCTGATTGGAGAATTGCCTTCTGTTGAAGATGAGAACAAGGGGCCTTGGTTGGGACAGCAGTTCGTGGTTTTCATGGCTGATGAGTTTTTCTTGCTTTCGTTCCTAGGTTTCCTTCCTATGCCTATCGACTTGGTTTGCTTGAACTCCCATTTCTCAGAAAGGAAAATGCCAACCTGAATTAGTCATGTAGATCATGGGATCTAAAGAAAAGGTTTTTGGTGGTAGGGGATCAATATGGATTGGGCCTGGTGGTAGGGTAGGCTGGGGTAACTCATTCTCCTCGCATTGCCATGTTAATGTGCTTTTGGCAACCTTGCTCTCTTCTAGCTTCCTCTGTGGCCTTGTATTCAAGTTGTTCCTCATGATTAAAAGGGAGGTGGCCTCTGAGTACTTGGGGAGGTTTTCCGGACACTAGGCCAGTGCTGTTGCAGCTCATCAACTCGACATTTTGGAGATGCTTATGCCAAATTCAGCAGCCAGATATTGGCATGAATAATTTTTTTTTGCCCAATATTTTAGGAATTTCAGGGTTTTTTGTTGTTGTTCAGGGTTGGAAGTTTTTTCCCTTAAAATTTCAGATGCCGAGCATATTTTCTATCAGTGGATGGTTGACAGTGATTTGTAAAGAAATGCTGTCTTCAGGGCGCCTGGGTGGCTCAGTCGGTTAAGTGTCTGCCTTCACCTCGGGTCATGATCTCAGGGTCTTGGGATTAAACCCCAAATCCGGCTTCCTGCTTAGCTGGGTGCCTGCTTCTTCCTCTCCCTCTGCCCCTCCCTCTCCCTCTGCTCCTCCCCCCTGCTCATGCTCTCTCTCTCTCAAAATGTTCTAATAAGTGTGTGTGTGTGTGTGTGTGTGTGTGTGTGTGTGTGTGTGTATGTATGTATATTAGAAATACTAAGTCTTCTTTCCTGATTCATCTGTTTATCATGTGTTTATAGGTCATTTTGTGGTTTACTTTTCACAAATTATCTTAACCATCGACATTTGTAATTTGCTGGTGTGGGATTTACAACTGTTCCCACTATACTTTTGTTCCCACTATACTCCACTGCCTCTGCTTTTGCTGTGGCTGCCAGAAACTGCCTTGGGTTAAGTCCTTGTTTTATTGACCCCTTTTGCCACTGACCACCTTCTTGACATGCTCTCATTGTTTGGTGTCCATGATGCCATCCTCTCCTGCTTTTCTTCCTGCTTCTGTGACTGCCTCTTCCTAATCTTCTTTTTCCATTCTCCTTCTTCGATCAGCACCTCACGTGTTGGTGATGCCTGGTCTGCTTCTTACTCTGTTCCTCTTTAGCTCTACCGAAGCTCATGACCACATATCTCCATCTGCCAGACATCCTCACTCAGATGTCCCACTGTGAGTTTAAACTGACGTGTCTTTCCCACAAAGCCAGCTTTCGCCCTTCCATTCCTGGCTCCATCCACCTATCAGCATGGGCCAGAATGCTGGTCTCTATATTTGGCTCATCTCTTGGCTCTTCTTCCCACTTCATTGCCAGGTCCTTGCCATTTTACTTTCTAAATGCCTCCCTTACCTGTCCATTATTCTGCATTTCTTTGGTTCAGACCATCCTCTTCTGTGACTGAATCTATTCTATTAGCCTCTAACTCTTTTTCCTTGCTTCCCCTCTTGCCCTCTTCAAATCTTAAAAGTACATGTCTAATCACACTACTCCCTTGACTGAGACCTGTCACTCCCTGCCTGCTGCTACCTTTGTATCACATATGTTCCTGAACATGGCTCTCAGGGCCCTGGTGTTTGCCCCTGCTTAATGCCTTTTCAGCCACAGTAGCTCACTTCTCTCCATCAATACTCTTGGCCACACAGAGCTACTGTTGTTTCTCCAATGGTCGGTGTTCTCTGTGTGGGATCCTTATTCTCCATCCTGGATTTTGCCTTCCTTGTTTTCTCCTTTGTCTTAATTCACGTATGCTTTTGTTTTCCATTGATGACATTAAGTTTGAGAATTTTCTAGTACTTCTTATATATGTGAAGTTTCCATTTTATCATTCTTTAAAAAGAAAAGATTTTATTTATTTATTTGACAGATGGAGATCACATGTAGGCAGTGAGGCAGGCAGAGAGAGAGGAGGAAACAGGCTCCCTGCCGAGCAGAGAGCCCGATGTGGGACTTGATCCCAGGACCCTGAGATCATGACCTGAGCCGAAGGCAGAGGCTTAACCCACTGAGCCACCCAGGCGCCCCCATTTTATCATTCTTTTTTTTTTTTTTTTTTGACAGAGATTACAAGTAGGCAGAGAGGCAGGCAGAGAGAGAGGAGGAAACAGGCTGCCTGTGGAACAGAGAGCCCGATGCGGGGCTCGATCCCAGGACCCTGGGATCATGACCCGAGCTGAAGGCAGAGGCTTTAACCAACCGAGACACCCAGGTGCCCCCCATTTTATCATTCTTAAAAAATGGTTTGTGACTTCTCTCATTTATCTGTAAGCTCTGCTAGAGGATGGGCATTCAGTCTTCATTAGTTTCACATTCCAGAGGCAACTGGTGTTGTCTGTTTCTTTTATACCATTCCAGGAGTATATTATGCACATATAAACAAATACAGGTATTCATATATATTTGTGTATACATATACGTATACACACACATATAAATTGTATGCAATATATTTTTACATAACTTTAGGAAGACAAGCTTGGGCAAATGCAATATCCTTCCAGGCAGATCTCAGTAGAAAAAAAATTATCTTTTATTTGAAATCAAAACATACTCACTTTTTGCACTCTAAGTATACATGTTTTGATATTTTCTTCTCT